CAGTAGTTGGAGTCTATCATGCATCTTGAATTTACCACTATACTTCATGTGTGGCATAACTAAGACCTGACACATCCTGGGTGCTCCTTGATTATCATTTAAATCTAAGTAAACATTAATGATAGTGTATACAAAGAATATACAGTAATTTCCAATTTTGTGAAAACAACTCCAACTCCTCAGCCACTTTGGTACTCTGCATCTGACAAATGTATCTATTCAATGAGGACTATTTCCAACTTTATGTGCACATGCCCTCAAAATGCATTTGTTCTGTGGAGTCATTTTAATTCCTTCAAATTGCTTCATAGTTTCTTTCTCACATGTTAATTTATTTCAAGGTCATAGTCTAAAATTATCATCTTTTGGAATAATTTGTCAGTTAATGGTGAACTACTTCTACTGATGATGTCTACATATTGGATGTCAATTCATTTAAATTAAAGTTGTGTAATTTGGAATGAGCCATCCAGTCCTATTTTATGTTGCTTAATTTATAGAGAGTGAAAGGGTGGCCCAGGGTATAGTCTAAGGAAATGTAAATAGTGATAGGTCTAAAATATATTTGTTATCCCTAGGTAAGTTTTTCCTCCCTTATATGTTTAAATAATGTGATGCATCCTTTTCTTTTTTTTAAAAAAAGATATAAATGTCTTGAATACAGGTGATTGCAAATTCCTAAAATCAACAAAACCTTGTTCATTGCTTTGTGTATTTATTCTAGATGATTTCTTGACTTGAAAATATGTATTTTCATATTTCCTAAAATATGCCTAAAAAGACTACCTTTGAAAAGAAATCTTCCTAATAATGCCAATGTTGACTTCATTTACTTTTCCAAAAACTCACTACTAAAATAGTAGATACTTACTTGAAGGTGTCTAAGAAACAAAATTTGAAGGTTTTCTGTGGTTCTGGAACCTTCTCTATCAAAGCAGTTAAAGTTGTTATTCTAGATATTGTCTATGCACAGCCTAGCAGTGTATATAATAAATAAGTGACCTAAACACTTGTCTAATTGTTTTCACTTAAATGTGCTATGGACTCAGCATTTCACATAAGGACTTGTATTGTTTTTCTGTTTTCCATTTTAATTTGAAGCAGGGTCTCTGCATGTTGCTCAGGCTGGCCTTAAATTTGCTGTGATCCTTTTGCCCCAACCTCTTGAGTGCTGAGACTACCAGTGTGCACCATCACCACCCTTAACAGGACTTGTAACACTTTTAGAATAATGTGTATCAATAACTTGCTTTTGGTGGACATTGGGATGTTTTCAGTTTATTCTTGATTTAATAATACTGCTTCAATTTTATGTCTTAATCCTAATATTTTGCAATGTTGTCCCACAGCAAATAAGTATATTCAGAAATAAGTATATTAGCTCAAAGGTTATGAACACTTTGTAATTGGGTGGAAACTGCCAAACTGCTGAAGGCATTCTTCTACTCTAAGTTCCCCAGAGAAAATGGGACCATTACTGCTTCTTCAGCGTCCCCAGTGCTGGAACTTTGCTTTCAGATGTTTATCACTCTCATAGTTAAAATATGAGATTTGACTGTTTTAAGTTGAATTACTGTGTGTATTGGTGGAGTAGACCCTTTCTTTATGTTTTTTTTTTTTTTTTTGATTTTTCGAGACAGGGTTTCTCTGTGTAGCTTTGCGCCTTTCCTGGAACTCACTTGGTAGCCCAGGCTGGCCTCGAACTCACAGAGATCCGCCTGGCTCTGCCTCCCGAGTGCTGGGATTAAAGGCGTGCGCCACCACCGCCCGGCCTTTCTTTATGTTTATCAGCTACTTCTCCTTTCATGTGTTGTTTGGGTAACATCTTTGCCTTAAGTTGCTTTACTTTCCTTTTTCCTATTAAGGATGTTGTCATTTTATCTGGCTGATGGCATTTCCCTCCATTGGTTATTTGTCTACTTTTCTCTTACTAAAGATTTTAAATTTGGGGTAGAAAAAGAAGTTGCTCTATTTTCCAAGGCATTTTTCCCTAGTAGTCCTTGGAAAGGAGTTTTCTATTAAAATATTATATAATGCCATTTTCATACTCTTGTGTGAAGTCTTAGTTTCTATATCTCTCTTTCTGATTCACTTGAAATTCAGCTTAAGAATAATTATCCTCTTTCTATTCTCTCCATCACTGGCAAATCATCTGTCACTATCTTCAAGTACTGAAAGTTGCTACCTTTGCATTTTGATAAGTGTTCATCTCAAATTTATTTCCTTAGTCTGTCATTTCCAGATACCATTGTATTTCTGTCAAAGTACAGAAGGTATACTTTGATAGATATACATCTAAAATAGCTGTGTAACTTAAAGGCAGGGCCCGTGCTCAGCAGTAGGTGGCCAACAGAAAATAAACTCAATGGGTATTTTTGGAGGTTTTTTGGTTTTTGTTTCATTTTGTTGTATTTTTTAACTTCAGGCTTTTTACTTATATATATCATGGTTTCTGATTTTGTGGGTTTTTTTTTTTTGGTTTCTCTGTGTACAAATGTGTGTCTCTGAGTCTGTATGTGGTTTTACTGTTTTTTCTTTGGCTTCTTTCTTTTTCTTTGTTTTGTCCTACCCCAGTTTTATTTCATTTTACTTTATTTTTTCAATGTCTGTCATTTTTCTAATGAGAGAGAAAAAAAAGGCTGTGGATTTGGATGACTGGGGAGGACCTGGGAGGAGTTGGGCAAGGGAAAACCATGATCAGAATATATTGTATAAAAGTATTTTTTCAATAAAAATAAATAAAATACCTGTGTGGAAAGTCCTTAGTTTTCCCCTAGAAGGTGTTCTCTAATTGGTCATCCAACACCATGTGGCCATCCTTCAAATCATATACACACAATACCACCAAATGGCCCCAGCAGGTTGTATTTACATATTTATGTGCATATATATATATATATATGTAACAATAATAAATAAAAAGAGGCCATAAATTTGAGAGAGAGTGTATAGGAGATATGGGAGGGATTGGAAAAAGAAGAGGAAGAAATGATATGATACAATTATATTTTAATTTGAAAAATGGCAAAAATAAAAATACTTTGGATGAGGAAAAAAGGACATGCAAAAAATGCTTAGATATTGAAAGGGGATATGTGTTCAGTGATACCCTGTGCATAGGAAGGTTTTTAGAAGAGCTGCATCATGGAAGCAATGGGCTAGGCAATAGTGTCTAAAGTACTCCATGAACCAATGTGAATGTTCTTGACCACCTGAAGGCATGAAGATATAAAAGTTTCTTACATGAAACAGTGGAACCCATACAGTAGTAGGAGTTGAGAGCCTGAGTTTCCAGAGGCTGTTATAACAAGAGACCTTATAGTAACCACTAAGGCTGCAGTGCAATTGATCTACAGGATTCCTGAGTTCTGAGGGGGTCATCAACTCCATTCTCCAAGGACAACCGCAGAGTTTTCATGCTAACAGAAGAGATGTCAGGCCCCATCAACAATAACTATGATATGAGACACCCTTTCTGGAAGTCAAGATAATACATAAGCCTTAAAGAATCTAGAAAAGAAACACAAATTACCTTGAAAATAAGATGTAGCAATTAATAAATGTGGAAGTGAAGAGCATCAATAGAGTTGAAAGTCAAGACACAATAGAGTTAATATCAGTTTAACTAAATGTCTATTCTCTGGGATGATTAATACAGCAGATAAACTTTGACAAGTAGAACAACACAAAAAAGAATAAAAGCATAAAGAAATATAATTTAAAAGGAAGCCAGATGAACAGGAAAAGAGAGAGCATAAAAACTAAAAGTGGGACCGGAGGAGAACATGCAGAGGGCAGCTCGCTTCCGCCGATGTGTATGGTACACATACATTGAACTAGCACACTGCATCCCATTAGTGTGTATAATAAATACATAATTAACACAAAAGAAAAACTAAAAAAATAACTAAAGCAAGCAAATGTAGACAGAAATGTGTTCAAGAAATTTGTATGTTAGCAACTAAAAGTTGTTCAATAAGGTGGAAAAAGCTGAATACACTAAAATTCATCACAGAAAGTGTTCTCTGTCTTCAGACTTGGGGACAGCCACTAGTTTCCACTCAGTCTGTTTCCTGTGCTGGACAATGTGAATTCCTCACAGACTCTCACTCAGTGAGATTCATATGCATGGTGCACTTAGGACAGCATTTGCCACAAACACTTCATCGCTAAATGTCCATTCTACCCTGTAATAGTGAAAGAGTTGGAAAACATATTCTAAATTGTTGAAGTATTGACAAGGACTGATTAAATAATCAGTGGAAGATGTAACTGAGTGCTCACATCACAAAGTTAGGTGAGTGATTGTATTGATAGGACAAGCTCTTCTAGATGTATTATTTCTAGGAATAAAAGGAAATTGCAGAATAGTATACAGAGGAGCTGGGATGGTACAGAGGAGCTGGGATGGTACAGAGGAGCTGGGATGGTACTGGAGGAGCTGGGATGGTACAGAGGAGCTGGGATGGTACGGAGGAGCTGGGATGGTACTGGAGGTTTATTTGAGTGGATGAAGGATGATTTTTATCTCTTTAAATGTTCACAATGCAAATGGAGAAGAGCATCTATAAAGAAAAAAATAAGTTAAAATCACTTTTAGAGCATATAGAAGTGTCCCGGAAGAGCCTGCATGGCTGTGACTGACATTACAGCACAAACAGCGAAACCTCCTTAAAGCCACCCTCATGTCCCCACCTTCTCCAGTTTCTCTCCATTCGCCCACAGTGTCGCCTGCACTCTGCGTTTACACTGCATAGATGACCAAATGACCTTATCCTTACTTCCTGTTCTTACTATTTTTCCAAATTTGAAACTAGACTCTATTTTGAGCATCCAGACAACATACAAAGGCATCCAATTTACCATCGTTCATTTAACTTTGTGTTACATACCACTGTACAAACACGTGGTCATATTTGCTTGGGATCTAATGTTTATTTAACAAAGTATAAGTCTGTGTCGGAGCAAAATTAATAGAACTTGAAGGAAGGGGAGAATGAATGAGGATATATTGATTTTGGAGAGAGAGGGAATGAGACCGTATTGATTTGGGATTAGTACTATTTTTGACATGACAATTAACCCAGACCTTCCCTTACTCATCTTGGGGTGCAGCTCTCCATCTGAACCCCCTTTTTAGGGCACCCTTGACCTCTTTGTTACGAAGACTGTAGATAAAAGGGTTCAAGGTCGGCGTGATCACTGCATAGACCACACTGGCCAGGCGGTCATAGCGAGCTGAGTAAGCAGATGATGGCCGGAAGTAGACAGAGAGGACTGAGCCAAAGAAAAGCGATACCACCACTAGGTGTGCCCCGCAGGTGGAGAAGTCTCGGCGCCGACCTCCTGTGGTCCGCACTCCGAGAACTGCCACAAGGATGCGGGCATAGGAGAGGGACACTAAGAGCAGTGGAGTCAGGACCACTGCCAGGCCCTCTGAGAAGATGGCAGTCTCAGCAGCTGACATGTCTGAGGTCGCTAAGCTCAGCATCACTGTCATGTCGCAAAAGAAGTGGCGCACTGGGGCGGAGCGGGGGTAGGAGAGCGCAGAGATGAGCAGTGTGTGCAGCAGGGAGTGGAGATGGGCCACAGCCCAGGACGCAGCCACCAATGCAAGGCAGCGCCAGGGCGTCATGACCGAACCGTAGTGCAGCGGCCGGCACACAGCCACGGCGCGGTCGTAGGACATGGCTGCCAGGAGGTAGCTTTCGGTGATGCCTAGCGCTACAAAGAAGTACATCTGGGCAAAGCAAGCCTCGAAGGACACGGTCTGGACAGGGTGGAGTAGAGTGGCCAGCAGTCTGGGGACAGTGACTGTGGTAAAGCAGACATCCACAAGGCTCAGGTGACCCAGGAAGTAATACATGGGGGAGCACAGAGCCCCGTCAGACCTCACCAGCACCACCATGCTCAGATTGCCCAGGGCGTTGAGCAGGTAGATGCAAAGAAAAAGCAGAAACAGCAGCGGGTGGGCATCTGTGCCATCCATCAAGCCAAGGAGCTGGAACTGTGGTTGGTATGTGAGGTTGGCCACAGCCATGGAGGTCGGGTACCCGTGGGAATGCTGAAGGGAGAGATAGAACAGAAAGCCTCAATTCTGGGAGCCCCGGGTGGATTTCCTCGACCTTAAAATTAATTTTTAAAGTAAAAACAATATTTTAAATCTATTTGCTGGTTGGCCTGTACATTTGTGTGTACCACACACATGCCTGAGGAGCCAGGAGAGGGAATCTGATCCCCTGGAACTGGAGTTATTGGTGGTTGTGAGTTGCCATATGGGTGCTGGGAACTGAACCATGGTCCTCTGGAAGAGCAGCCAGTGCTCTTAACTGTTGAGCCATCTCCAGATGATTTTTAATGCTATATATTTACACATGTTTCTGCTTGCTAAAGTAGATTGAAAACCACATTACTCACACAATAATCCTAATTTTATGGGAAAACTTAATTTTGGAAGTGTGCTTTCTAGGGGAGAGGATGAGGCTTCCTAACCTATAGAACAAGTCAGACCTGCTTCCCAGCTCTGGATGTGACTCTCTGTGCCACCAAAGGCACTGTGACCTCTCTGAGCCTCAATCTCTTTTTCTTAATGAGAAAAATACAATTGTCCATTCCTGGGGTTGATTAGGAGGATACAGAGATGAGTTTAAAATTCTTAGTAGATGCCCAGCAGATAATAAATGCTCACAACTTTTGACTTTGTTCTAGCATCATCATTACTACCCTTATATCCTTAGTCAAGCAATTAGACAGAGGCAGAGTTAAGATCAGGCCATCTGGATACCCGTCTAAAACTCATCCTAAGCCATCTTACTGTTTTTTGCTGTTCATTTCATTATGTATGCACTAGCTCAGGAACTGGCGAGTGCTGCCCATAAAGGATCGGAAGGTAGACATTCTCCTGTTCTCAACAGTACGGTCTCTCGTACAACGCCTTAGTTCTGCTGCTATGATGCAAAAGCAGTCACCCAGTGTGTAAATGGATGCCTATGACTGTGTCCCAAGAAAACTGCACATATACAAATGGAGTCGGACTGTATTTGGCCCATGGGGTGTGGTTTGCTGACACTGAGATTGTTCTGGGTGCTGGAGATGGGAGATGGATGAGCCTTAGCTTCTTACCCTTCAACAGTTTTCCCAGTAGCAGAGAAGTTAGCACTTATCTAATTTTGTGAACTGAGTAGGATATAATTCTTCCTGGAGAGATTGGGAAGAGTTCAAAGGAAAATGACCTGAATTGGGTCTTTGAGAATGGGCAGGAGTTTATTCAACAAAACTGTTATTGCATGAGAGTGAGGATAATTCCAGACAGTGGGAAGAGGGTACTGAGTTGTTGGTAGAGGAAGAAGAAGGTGAAACACCCACAGATGACACTGTACCAAAGCCTGCCCTTGCTCTGAACTTAGCTCATAAAGTCAACTGGACAGAAAACTTAAATTTTCTGTAATCTCGGAAACATACTCTCATTTGTCCCTTCTCAACATCTTCTCTAAAACCCCACACACTTTCCCCACATTGCTCTAAAGTTGCTAAAATTGTCCTGTGACTGAACTGACCTGCACACCATCTGCCAAGAGAAAGGATCAAGCCTTTTGTGTGATCTTGGAGGATACTGGGACAAGGAACTGTCAAGAAAGAACCACATTGAACTGTCCCGTCCAGGGATCTATGCACAGTTAATCCGATAAGAGCATCCCAAATGAAGCTTTCTGCAGACCAGTGAATGAACACAGAGGACAAGGGGCATGAAGAAGGAATGATGACCAGTCAATCAACTGCCACAACAGGCTTCAGGCATTTCCTACCTTTCCATTTTTCTTCTTTTGCTGTTGTTATGTATGAGCCATCCTGGGGAACTTGCTTTCTGGGATCCTGAAAACCAGTTCAGTACCTTGGCACCCCTCCACTCCCTCCTTATGTCAGCACCAGGCCTTTCTTCCCAACCTCTCCCTTAGGTGTGTATATGGTGCTGTAGAAAAACCACAGCTTTGAAATCAGAGATGCCTGGGCTCATCCTGATTGGCTCTGTAATCATGGAGTCGTTTTTTATTTAGTCTCCACTCTCCTGGTCTATAAAATGAGTATATTGATTCCTCTCTTAGATTCTTGATGTCAATATTAAATGAGACAGTGCACTGTGAGGATTAAGCAGAGAGCGGATGCTAACTGATGGTAGCTCTCTTTCCTCAATACCTGATCTGTCCTCTGGTAAGTTCCTAGTGGCTTCTTGAGATAGATCAGTCTGATACTGGAGAGATATAGTTTTTTTAACTATTTTAGTTTCATTAATTGAGCTGAAGCCATGTAACTACTACTATAACTACTATAAATAGTTTCAATTTCAGCCTCTGGTGGGGGGGTATGTATCAAGCTGGCTTTCTCAACAGCTTTTTTTCCTAGAAGTTAAAACAATCTCTTCTATGTCTCATAAGTCATCTTTCTTCAACTTAATATTTAAGCCATAGTGCCTGAGATCCAATCTTACAGGATCTGATTTCCATTCTGGTCATTCTTTGCTTTGGGCATTTCCCTAATAGAAGCAGACATTGTGTTCCAGCTGGGGTTGAGCCCTGTGGAGTTTCCTGGAGCAGCATAGTGGCTCAACCATATAGTTCCTGCCTGCTTCTTAGTGCTTTATCTAGGTCGAGCACTGGATTGACCACAGGCACCACAGCTGAATTAGCCCGTGAGTGACCTTAACCTCAAGCAATGCAGAAGGTAGTAAACTCCACCTTAAAAGCTGCATCAAAGCAGGGCTGTGTGCCTCTGCCTGCCTGACTTAGGGGAGATTCCAACCAAGATGTGAGGTTGGGATTTAGTTTGGAATCATGAGTAGACAACTAGAAACACAGACTCACAGGAATGGGAAGGGTGTTGGCAGAAAGAGAAGGAGAATGCAGAGACACACAAAGATGACTTGTGAGAGGATGGAAGCTCAGATGTGCCCTTTCCCCCAACACCATGCAAAGTAGGTGGAGATGAGGCAGGGAGGAAGATAAGATGCAAGGCATGAAACAGCAGGGATGTGTGTGGTTTTCTCACCTGCAGTCTGCACCCCAGATCTCAACACTGTCTGAAGCGTCTGAAGGATGGTCTTCCTCCTGGGCACAGCTCCCCAGTCCTGGGGGTAGATATATTGTCTTCCATCCTGATATGAAGTCCCAGGGACTCCAGTGAGTTTCCAGTGCACTAGAGAGAGGGAGATCCAGAGCAGTAAGGGTCCTGGGTGTTGCTCTCACCCAGCTTTCTTACCTGGCCAGCTCCTGTGTCACCCACTGGAGACATTATAGATGGCTCAGGATGCTGCATAAAGCTTTCCAACATAGCTCCTAGAATTCCCATCTAGTCTTACTGTCAACTGCTTCCAGAAGTTTTTCATTCCCTAGAGGCCAGCCTGGTTGGCCTTTTCAATGCAACCTACATTTTCTCATAAGCCTTCCCAGAATACTCTTTCCCTACCTAAAACACCATTCCTACCCTACTCCAACACCCAAACTTAGCTCCTATCCACCCTCCAGAAGTCCCACGCCCTCTCTGGACCTCTGCAGCTCCCTCCTCTTCCTCTCTCCCTTCTCTTATTTATACTCGGACCTCAGTTGCTGATGATTTTTTTTCTGTTGTACTGTTTATCTTCCTCTAGATTATGAGCCTTGTAGACACAAATGTCAATTGTCTTTTCACATATGAACTTTCCAGGGCTTTGTCCTAACTCTCTTGGAAATCTGGGAAGGCTCTACAGAGGAGGTGGCATTTGAGCAGGGCCAGCTTGAAACCATTCACCAGACAGACAGGGGTGAAAGAGTTTTTAATAGGAAATTATAAGGGGAGGTTTAAGGAATTTACTTGGTCTCTGAGCTGCTTTTTTTCTTCCCTCTTAAAGTGGAATAATTAAGAGCTGGGAATAAACCAGACGGTGGTGGCACACGCCTTTAATCCCAGCACTCGGGAGGCAGAGGCAGGCGGATCTTTGTGAGTTCGAGGCCAGCCTGGTCTAGAGAGCGAGATCCAGGAAAGGCGCAAGGCTACACAGAGAAACCCTGTCTGGAAAAACCAAAAAAAAAAAAAGAGAGAGCTGGGAATAGTAGCCCATGCTAAGTTAGGAGAATCACTCTAGTCCAGGAGTTTGAGACAAGCCTGTGCAACATAAAAGACTCCATCTAATATACATATATATATATATATATA